AGTGCCTCAGCACCCTCACACTAAAGAATTTATTCCTGCTATCTAATCTGTATCTACCCTCTTCTAGTTTAAAGCCATTATACTCTGAAGTACTTCATCACATGAGAAGCCTTTTTAACATTCACAGTGAAAGATGCTCCCTTGAAATCCTTTCATAGTAGACGCTTTAAAAATGCAAATTTACACGTTCATGCTACTGAGGTGGCCACTTCTTTCCTAAAACTCTTCAGAATGCCCCTGTTCATTCCAGTCAGGGTGGGTGACTCATGTCAGTTGGCTCCAGCAACTCTTTTGACATGCCAAAAATCCCTTAGCTTCAGCAGCAGAAGACAGCTGACTGGTTACCTTCCCATTATTCCTTGGACTGAACACTAAGGAAAAGAAGCTTTCATGTTTTAACACTTTCATCTTAATTTTTCTTTAAATCCCAAATGACATAGCAGGCACATTCCTTCTTGGGCTTACCGCTTCCAATAAACTGCAACAATTGGGTTTACATAGCTTTAGATATTCACCTGAAACCACAATATTTAAGGATGCTAGCATGTTATTTGTGGCCATTAATGTTCCTTGCGTTTGGAGGTTTGGTTGGTAGCAGGAATTTTATTTTCAGAAATCTTACAACAGTCTTTAGCTTAACTAAACCCTTCAACACCACAGATACATGACATGCTTCATAACTTACCTTGGCCACAAACATGCATATATGAACTCAACATATAATACAGACCTCTGAAGTCCACAGACATACAAATCTAAGTATATACTGGGTTACTATGTCAAATGCCCAGATGATGGATGTTTGTCTCATGTCCTGCACATCTGAAGCTCACATCCACCCATCCATCCACTTGATGCTAATGAATCACTATTGCTGTTCAGATACGTGAACATGAACCCACATGGCCTGTGTGAGAGATTCCATTTCACATTAATGTACTGGTTAATGGATAAAATTGGAGAAAGTGGGGCAGAGCAAACAGTCCTTCTTGAGTAGAGACTAAATGACTAAAAGGTTCACAAGTTTGAAATGCAGAAAAAGATATTAAGCATTTGTTTGGAATCTCAAATTCTTCAGAGTAACCTAGTAACAAATTACTAAACCACCCTGAAAAACTACTTGAGAATAAATTTTCCAGCCCACCCAGTTATGCTTCCCATCTCCTTCAGAATCCGCTTCCTGCTTTGATCCATCAAAGGTGGAGGCAGCAAACACATTGAGCAGATTTAGCCCCATTTTCTTTCCCATACTTCTGAACAGTCACTCTTCCAATAAGCTAACTGAAGCCAGCCTGTACCCTCGTTTTAACACAGCTTATACCCTAGACAGTGAAAGTCAAGGACACAAATATCAGTTATATTTGCAAACATGCCCACTAGATGCCTTCAGGCTATAAACATGAGACCTTATTTTCTACATACACAAAGGCCAGAGTCAAAGTTAATTTTCACCTTTAATAAGCTCATGATCCTCTGTTATTTAATATTCTGTAAAAAGGTATTACAGATTGATAGATTATTGCAGTGACTTCTAAAGAACATGGACAGCCATGAGGCTGAAACTACAATATCATATATATATTATGTAGTCATTGATATTATCTACTACAGCATGAAGAAAAATACTTAAAAAATAAACAGTTATTAACCAAAACCATAGAAATGGAGCTTGCTTTCTTACAGTATGGCTACATATCTACATTCCAAGAATAACATTTTAAAAAATGCTAGATCTTGAAAGGTCATAGATAAAAAGAGTCATGATGAAGATGAACCAGTTTTGCCCAGAAATGGTTTAATGAGCACACTGCAGAGTTTTTCAGCAAATCCTAGTTTTGCCAAGCTTCAAGAGGCAAAAGCTTGAAATGTAAAAGCTTCCACGTTGTCTAGCTAGTCCACTTGTCTTGCTCCGGAAGGCCCAGTGACCCCCTTCTGCTTTAAGAGGGCATATCACTGTAATAGTTCTTCACCGACGTGAAAGCCACCAGAAGAGACGATTCAGGTCCTTACGATGCCAAGCCTAACAAAAAGCCTCCAACAAACCCACTGGACACCACAATGTTCTGTTTGATAAATTCTGTTGACTGAAAAGAAAAATAGTATTTGTAAAGTTAATTAAAAAATACTGAAATTGGGGAGGGGTTGGAGGGAAGGGAGGGAAACAATGTGTTTAAAAACATACGAAGCTTGGTGGAAACTGCTGGCACCAACGGAGTGAAAACTGACTCTCGTCTGTCTTTAACAATATATTTAATATACAGCTAGCATTTAAAAGCCAAAATATAGAGAAACTGTCATAGCCATTTCATGCCAATACCACTCTTGTTCAGATTAAAACAAGACAGATGTTTTGCAAACTCCCTTGGCAAAAAAAGCATCAGCACCACCATGACTTCCATTTTAATCACATGAAAAAAAGGGGTTTTTTAATAATATAATTTTTTGGAAGATCAGACCCTTGGAAAAGAAATACACCTCACTCCATTTTAAGACAGCTTCCTAACAACCTAATCCTATGAAGCACCCTTATGTATGACAACATTTGTGTAAAATATTTCATGAAGTAATAGCACAGAGTATAACACGTTATATCAAACGTGTGCCATTTCATAAATCCTCCACTTCAAACACTTTGGATAGGCAAATAATATGCAATTAGAAGAAAGTAATATAATCTGAGGGCAGGGTAAAAAATAGAAAAAACACATTCTGTCCCACCCATTTCTGCAGGGCGATAGGGAAGGACCAGTTAAGCTATTTAGGGTATAGAAGAAGCTTCCACTTCACATTCACATTAAAATTCAGAGTAAGTTTTACCAACCTATGTGCAACTCCATACAGGTTAAACCTGAGACGTCAGAACTCTTAATTACAGACTGCTAGCATGGCTGCTGCTACACTGTCTGCAGCATATTCTAACTCAGGATTTACAGTTACTGAGAAAGAAACTTGGATCGCTTGTATGAAATGTGAAAATATGTAAAAACAGGCTAAGCAGACCTTTTTTTAAAATAAAGATGAAACAATTAAAGTCTTCAAATGACAGAGTGAAATAGCCTCAGTGACACTGATCAGTATCAGAGGCTACCTCTTTTCAATATAGTATGTAACTGACAGATTCTGAAGACAGATATTCTTTGAACTGTAGGAAAATTAGATTAAAAACCACAACTTACTTACAAAGTAGTTAGAGCTTTTCTCCAGAAAGAAAGGTCAGTCTTCTTCCAACCAAGTAATCATGTTATCAGCAGTTTAAGATGATGTGGTTTTCGTCTTTGTAGCTGCCATGTTTTAGCCACAACACCCTCTACTTTTTAGCATGTCATGACCTCACTGGCTTTCTTACTAGCCCAGACTCCAGAGAAACTAAATGGCAAAGCCAATGGCAGTCCCTAGGCTATATCAGCTGTAGAAATGCTTTAATTTGAGGGCATTAATTAATTAATTCATTAATTAAATGCTTTAATTTTGTGTCATCTTTAAGACTGAACAAAACAGAAAGCTAAGTTAACTTTTAATAAAACATAAAGCCAGACCATCTCTGATGCCTTCCAGTTTTACACCTGCAATTTCGACTAATCATCACCTGCAGCAGATGGTAAGAAAAACTGGCTGGTAGAAAACAGGTTATTACCTCAGACTCACCTCTTCAATTAGAGTATTGATTTCAGGTGCTGCCTTATTTGCACGCTTTTTTAACTGCTTTTTTGCTTTGTTTACATCTTTTTCAACTCTCTTCCAGTCAACTTGTACGTATCCACTATGACTAGCAATCTAGGAAAATAAAGGGTATTTAGTACAGTTGTAGTTAATATTTCATGAGTCAAAATGCAGTATCTTAGTGCCTACAAAGGTTGTTTAAATATTGCTCCAATTACAGCAGGTATTCTGCTTCAAACACTAATATTTTGCACAGTAACAACAGTTCAAATTAGAACAAGCAATGGCAAAGTTCACTAGACTCTCTTGTTGCCAGTTCTCTATTCTTAAGTTATAAAAACTTTAACGATGTTTTTCCTTCAGCATTTATGGTAACCTTACTTGTAAGAAAGGTGCTTTCATAGGACAACAATGAAAGAACTGTTTCATTTCAGCTTCTTTCAGAACTGTTGAATTCTTATCTGTGACCAGGTATCTAGGGCTAATCAGACACATCCTAAGAAATACTGGAAACTATTATTTTATCTTACATCATTTAAACTGTCCAACAAAGAAAGGATTCTATGCAAGAGAATTCTCATACTTTCTAAAAAACCAAAGCCAGCAAGTAGAAAAAAAAAAAGCATGGCCTGTGAAAAGCACAAGTTCTGTAACATCAGCAAAATCGGTAACTTCTGGGGGATTGTTCATGCCAATTCACACGCAAACTCCCAAAATGCTTAAACAACATCCATGAGAATTTTAGTACCTTTAACCATCATCCCTTTGCCTTATTTCTCTTATGAAGATTTGATCTGGGAACAAAGATAGATGTTCTGTTACTTGACCAACACTGACAGTCCCACCAATTTCCTTAAGCCAAGTTACAGAAGAAATGCATGTTTAAATAAGAGCATAACTTAAGAAAAAATATCAAAATCGGGCAATTCTGAATGCTCCGGAGAACAGCTGAACAACTCATTAGTTGGAACAAAAAGAGGGGAAAAAATAAATTCAAAGAAAGATTACTGCTTATTTTAACTACTAAGACAAACAGATATAGACCACTAACTACAGATAAATGACTGTTACACAAAACACTCTATGAAGAGTTAAATTTCTCAGGCCCTCCTTCAGGTCATGTTTGGCAAATTCATGTTAACTTATACCACAGTATTCTATGCAAATGGTACAATTGGTAAATACAAGTCACATATAATGAACTTCTGTGGAACTTTAAATATATATATTTAAT